TGAATACGAGGCTCGAACAGCAGATTGTCAAATTACTCCTATGCTGCGATTCATTGTGAGTGTCATCAGAACTCTCTGACAAGCATCGAATCGCCAACTGCTAGGAGCGGCCTACTGGCGCTGGACGCGTTGAGTCCGGTCCTTGCAAGCCTCCAGTGAAGCCATGGCCGACAATCACAAGTCGTTCCGACAGGTGGTGAGAGAAGCGTCGATTTTGCAGTGGAACGCAAGAGGTCTGAGATCTCGCATATCTGATTTTCGCCAGTTTGTTCATCTGTACCGATTTCCTATCATGATTATATGTGAACCGAAATTACCGCACCCAAACAGATTATCCGGCTACGAGTCATCTTTCTCCTCAAGTGACATCGAAAGTAGCAAGGTTGTTGTATTTATTCGCCGGGAGCTTACTTACGTCGTCCAGCCAGTGCAACCTCAAGACGGCAATCAATATGTGTGCTTGTCTGTTAAAAAAGGAAAGGTGACATTCGCACTTCTAGGTGTGTATATATCCCCACCAAGTCAATTCGACGCCAACAAACTAGACGGCATATTAAAGGCACATCCGAGTCCGTGGGTTATCACCGGGGATTTTAATGCGCATCATCCTATCTGGGGAAGCTCAAGGCCTAATTCCACGGGACGACGTCTAGCATCATTGGTTTCCAGCCATGATCTCGTTCTTCTGAATGACGCCAGTCCTACGTTTTAGCGAAGCACTACATATAGCAGCTGCTTTGGTTCGTCCTTTGTTTCACGCCGATTTGCTACATGGGTAAAGTGGTTTTTGGACATTGAAACACACGGAGGCGACCACATCCCCACTTACCTGAAGATTATAGGTATTTCGAACACGTACTCCTCTACCACAACACAAAGAATAGATTAGAGTGTGTTCAAAACTCAACTTGAGGATGCTTGTGAAGAAGGCCTGTCCAATGGTCTTCAGCAAGCTATTAGAGAAACTGCACATGCGGCTATGCGCACAATAATATGCTCTTCGAAGTAATCTAAATTTGACCTCGAGCTGGAGCGACTTCGTGCAATCCGCCGTCGTGCCGAAAGATGATACCGACGCACCGATTCCGCAGACGATCTACGAACAGTCCGGCGCATCCAAAAGAAGATACAACGGTGCCTCGACAAACTAGACATCCAACGATAGAGGAAATTTTGTGCGTCGCTAGGTCCTCATAAACCACTGTCTCAGATACGGAGAATCGTGCGAGGCCTACGTTCTGTTCCAGAGCAGCGTTTTCCCTTCAAAGCCCTTGCACTTTTTCATCGCCGGCACGAAATTGAGGTAGCAGAAACTTTCTGCGCTATGACCGTGGGACAGACAGCGTACACAAGCCTACATACAGTGAATCGTATTCCTCACTCACGGGACTCGTGCAAGGATCTACCGTTTACATCACAGGAGCTCGATGCGGCGCTCGTCTTATGTAATAAGTCGTCGTCAACTTGCCAGGATGACATCTCATACAGGATGCTGTGCAACCTTAGTAAACGGGCACGAGATGCACTCCTTAACATGTTCAACGATTCCTGGCAAGCTGGCGTCGTTCCGCAAGATTGGAAAATTAGCCGCTTGGTAACGAGTCTTAAGCCTGGCGAATCTCCCCTGGACATTGCCTCTTACCGACCGATCGCACTTTCAAGTTGCGTAGGAAAGGTAATGGAGAGAATGATCTTGGCAAGGCTTGAATGGAACCTCGAATACAATGAAATTTAGCCGAATGCCATGGCTGGTTTTCGCCGTCACCAATGTTCGATTGACAATGTTATAGATCTCGTCACATATGTCCAGCAACAAAAGGCATGTAAACGACTATCTGCTGCCATGTTCCTTGACGTAAAAGGAGCACACGACAACGTTCTAGATGACGCCATCCTCGAAGCCATTGAGTCAGTGGGCCTAGGCGGGCAACTGTATTGTTGGACACGCAGTTATTTACAAGGGCGGACCTTATTTGTGAACACTGCAGATGGTCCAACCTCCCAACACCCAACGCATCGTGGAGTTCTGCAAGGTGGCGTCTTGAGTCCAACCCTTTTCAACCTCGTTCTCTTTGGTCTTGTAGAACGACTACCAAGTGTGGTCAAGTTATACATGTACGCTGACGACATCTGCTTCTGGGCATCTGGCGCGACAAGAACTCAGGTACGCGCAAGACTTCTAGGGTCTGAAAATCTCGGCAGCGAAATGCGCATTGATTGCTTTTAGTCGAAAGCCAAATAGACCATACGCTATATCAGTCGATGGCCAAGTCATACCGTATGTCAGGACGCACAGATTTCTAGGCGTATTCATTGATAGAGACCTCTGCTGGGGCGCACATGTGGCCCACTTGAAGAAGAGGCTGACAGAAATTGCTAACTTATTCAAGTACCTTGGAAGAAAAACCTGGGCGACTTCAGTACATGCAATGATGCAAATTGTACAAGACACTTTTTCTTGGATATTTGCGCTACAGTTTGCCTGTGTTGACCAGCACCTGTAGAACCAACATTCGGACTCTCGAAAGCATCCAGGCTATGCCTCTGCGAGTTTGTCTGGGGCTACCGCGATGTTCATTAACAGCTGAGACAATCGAGATCGCTAATGACTACCAGCTCAAGACGCATAACATGATGGAAGTGCTCAGAGCACACGTGAGGCATCTTGCTCGTGCCCCTGCCCATCATCTAGCTTCACTGCCAGAAGCCCGACCTCGTGCCTCATTTCGCCAGACAGTCTTGTCATATCGCACACGCATTCCTATGGGATATACAACTCTATCGAGGATTTCAACTCCCCCATGAAGTATGACCTATCCACATGTTGAACTCACGGTTCCAGGCATAGGGTCAAAAGCCCAGCTCTCGTCTCCAGCGCTAAAGCAGCTTTATCTTCTCTTGTTATATGAGAAGTACAGTAAGCGTACTCATCTATATACTGACGCTTCAACTAAAGTGGATGGGTCTGCTGGGTCGGTGATCTTTCCTGCAACAGCAACAACGGTGTAGTTTTGTTTATCGCACCAGACATCATCGACAGCTGCGGAACTTGCTGCTCTACGTAGCGCAATTCAAGTCATTAAACAAAGAAGCCAAGAAATAGAGCGTGTTCATGGAGCACTACAGTGCTCCGTGAACACGTGAGCACGCAGCACTACAGTGTTTGATATTCGCCTTACGCCGGGGACCTCATGAACAACTAGTGCTAGAAATTAGACAGCTGCTTCACCACCTCTTCGACGAAGGACACAAAATCACGTTTCAGTGGCTTCCAAGTCACTGTGGCATATTGGGCAACGAACATGCCGATGAAGCTGCTTGATCAGCACAAGAAGATGATGAAGAAGAATCTATACAATTTTCAAGGACTGATGCTGCAATGACCATCCGAAAAATCGCTAATGCAGAAATAAAATCTCTGTGGAACGCCGAGTGCTTACGGCACACGCGACTGCATATATTGGACACGTCTCGTCGACTCCGGCCTCCGTCTGGACTCTCTCGACTCGAGACAATATGCTTTGCTGACTATGGCTTGGTTTCGCCTTCACCAAAGCTTTCACCTTCCGAATCGGCGTGGAAGACAGTGCTGCTTGCGGTCATTGTGGCAGCGATGAAACTAACGAGCACGTTCTCTGTTACTGCCCTCGTTACAGCGTGCAAAGACTGCAACTAGCTGCTGCGTTAGCTCACCTTGACGACAGACCTTTGTCTCAACAATCAGGGCTGGAAAGACGACATGATTTGTGTGCTCACAGAAAATCAGTGAAGGCCTCACTGAACTTTTTGCGTGGCAGCGGCATATTGTATACACTGTAGCACCCCAGCTACCCCCCCCCTTTTTTTGCGCGCGTCTATTTCTCTCTTCGCTTTCTTTCCAATCTTTCTTCCCCATTCCCCCTTCCCCTAGTGTAAGGTAGCAAATCGGATGCTCAATTTTGTGGTTAACCTCCCTGCCTTTCCCTCATTTAGTTCTCTCTCTGAAGTGACATGACATTTCTCATTTGTGCTTCGCATATCATTGATTCCCACCTTACGTGGAATTTCCCTTTTTTTTCTTACACCATGCCAACATTGCTATTCGCCTCACAGGGCGTTTTTCTGTCGCGAGAAACGCGGTACGTAATTTCAGCTTTAGTAGCTAAAGTGCACGTTTAAAAATTACTATAAAGTGAACAAAACAACCAGCGTTCTCGGCTTGGCATTAGCATTTCACAGTGGCTTTTCGAGCTATAAATTCCAGATGTTCTTGCAAAGAGCCAAGCCAGTTAACGGTCTAGAGTTAGGTGCAAGTGGATGGAAAAGTGGGGCGCAGAGAGGAGAGAAGGGAGGTGAAGTGCTGCACCCACTCTCTCCTACACTCCCTCGCACCACATGCTTCGGTCACTAGGGGCGAGGATAAGCACGCGCACCTGCAGCTGTTGCTACGGAAAAGGGCGGTGAACGAATCCCGGCTGACACCTGACTTAGCCGGATTAAGAAGTGCGCTCGCATTTAAAACGTGTCCATGACCAGCAAGCGCTTGATTGGTACACAGCAGGCACATGGTCTCCTGGCGTGCCCATACTTCATTTTCTTTTTCTTGTTCCAAGTATTCAGTAATATTTAACATCTCGCCGTTTGTTCGCACAGAATTTACACTGCTATGAAGCAAGCTACCTAGAAAAAAAAACAAGAATGTGTTGTATTCAGGTTGCAAAAATCTGTTGAAATGCCCGTCAAGGTAGCTCTTCTAATGGTAGGTGACCTTAATGTCAGAACGCCAGTTCATTCACTGGTGGAACTTCTCTGATTTAACTGCATTATACCTTGGCACTTGATATTCAGCTCAGAAATATTTGCAGCATCTTGCATTAAACTAGCCTTCAGCCTCGTAAGGTTTTGCTTACATAAAACGAACGCAGGAGCGATTTTCTGTCAATAACGATCAAGTTTCATTGACTGATTGAATGATTCATCGATTGATTAATTAACAACAAACCCATTTGTTCTCATTACAGATTTACAAGCTGAAAACACGCCATGAAATCCATCAATCATGATTACCAGCATGTCTTGATGTCAAAATATGGCTGTATATACGGTAAATTGTTGTCCTAGACGTAAACGTTTTAAATACCTACCTTGTATATTTGAATAAAACTTGGTCGTCAAAAGATCTCCTGTTCATTGTCAGAACAGTTATTTTAATGTATAAAAAGCAGAGAATGCACACTTTACAAAGTGAGAATTCCTCATTACACTTTTTGGTTGGCGTGATATTTAAATATTGCTATACAAAGTGCGCACGGGTAGGGTTAACACTGTACACAGTGTACAGGAAGGCAAATTAACAGTACAGGTTAGACTCAGTGCCTCAACAAAGATGTCGTCATCACCTTCTATTCAGCGTGATTTCGGTGGTCGAACCAGAGGTTGGTTGGTTGCGAAACTTTATTGGGTGGTCGAACCAGAGGGTTTTTTCGATACCCGTGACATGCAAAGCATCGTCCTTTTGCCTGTTATGGACAGAAGGGTGCACCACCACTGAAGCGCTTCAAGAGAGAAACATAATGTCACCTCTGATTGCAGCAGTAGACGTGTTAGTGGTCGAGGAAAGGTCATGACCGGTGTCGCCTGGCGCAGAGCCTGGTAGAGCCACACGTATGGGAATGAAAACTTTTGATACAGGTGAACACAACAGGATGGGAACCGCAGTAAAACTAAAGAACCTGGAGGAAAATTGCTACTCCTATGTTTATTGTCACAAAAAGTTTTTTGTGCAGTCTGGGAAAACAAGAAACGAACGTGGGCAACTATACGTGTGATGAGAGCATAGGTGTTGATATCTTGAGCGTATGAGGTGGTACATGGTAGATAAGGCGGAATAGTGTGTTGACTGGTACCAAGGAATCAATGCCTAGTCGAAAATAAAAGGACAAATTTCATGAAGGTATGAGTTGTACGGGATGGAGGCGCACACGAGCGCAACGCTTCAATTAGTGCGGTTTCCAGAAGCGTTGATAAAAAATATGGCCATTAGGGGGCGATCCATTCATTTGAGGGTGGTGAGAATTCATGAAGTTGTGTCAAGTACCACATGATCGATGTAGATTATCAACCACACGAGACACGAAATCTGTGAGTGAGTGATAATAACCGCCATAATAGATAAGCCGCAAGGAGGGATATCTGCAACATCTGTCGCGCAGCTGGTGAGTAGCTTTCGAGTGATTGCATAGCTTGTGGCATGATTTGTAGCTACTGTAATCCACTTATTTCCAGATGCCGAAGGTAGGGAGGTACTTGGAAAATCTGAACCCACTCAATGAAACGGTTCGGCTAGAACTTCAATAACCGGCCGGCAGAGCAATCCATTTCATTCGCAGCTGCCATTGGTTGTAGGCGGGAACACAGTAATTAACGGAACAAAAAAAGCTGATCTTCAACTAAAGTTAACTATGAGTAGCATGAGAAGCAGCGCATGGGTTGACTACAAAACTGTTTATGACGGGTACCTTGCCCGATGTTAACGCGTCCTTGCAGGTGGAGCACACCGTGTATTTTATCTGTAGTTTCTGTTGCTGGTACTCCTCCCGAACTCTTGTTGGTGCACGCCACGCGGTTTCATCGCCTCGTCCCGTGGGAGCACGTGAATCGATAGCACGTTTGCGGAATCTTCTTCCGAGACGCCATCACGTGATTGCTCAGAGAGCCTAAAAGAGGAAGTTCTTAGCCTCGTACGCAGTCACATTAGCAAACCCGAACTTATTAGCGCATGTCAGCACGTTTTACCATAATACAATTGGTTCGCCGCACGTGCGGAATCTCGTTCCTTGACGCCGTCACATGATTGCTGAGTGATTGTAAGGGGCAGAGGCTACAAAGTCTTACCGAGCCCTTTACACAGGTAGGAACGTATAGTGCATGAGCGCGTTGTGGTAATGCTTGAGCTATCTGTTCCGCTTGCGCAGTAAGGGTAGTTACCACACCGGAGTGAGCTCCACCATCAGCTACTCCGCCGCATCTAATAAGGACCCGTCCTGAATATCCGTTGTCTAACATCGTAGTAAGTTTTAGACACGTCTAAATGTCATGTCACGTCAGACAATTCAAATTTCAAGTCCCGAAATATATAAGTAATTTTCTACTGTTCATCTTTCGTGTGTGGTATATGTTTTGATATGAGGTATACGTTCACAATCACTAAACTTTGCTTATAGGTGTGCCTGTCATTCGAACATTCTGAAGGGGCGCAAATATAATTGCGTATCATAAATCACGACTTAGGTTAGCAGAATAACTGCTCAAAAGCTAATGTGCCTTCGAGCGGTCTTGCGAAGCAAGACCGCTCGAAGGCACATTTTGACCGCCGACGCCAACACGTGACGTACAATTGCGGTGAGCTAGTGTTGCTGTGGACACTAACTAGAAAACGCGGTTTGTGCGAGAAACTGATAGCGCACTATGCGGGGCCTTATCTTGTTGTAGACCGTATCAGTGATTCAGTTTACCGCATACCGCGTCTTCATTCAAATGGCCGACGGTCTGCAACAACTGAACTTCTCAATGTTGCACGTTTGAAGCGCTTTATTCCTCGAGAGACTGTTTGACTCGCCCAGTGGGCTTCGTCTGCGCGGAGGGAAATGTTATCACATGTGTAATTTAGGTATGTGCACCTGTGTAGTGGGGAACATGGTAGTGGCAGAAGAAGAGGACGTTCGGTTGTGGCAAGAGCTCGCTGCTGCGCGTTCACTGCTGTATACCGTCATGTCGACCGTTACGTCGGCTCTGAATAAACCCATCTCGTAGACGTAACAATAATACGTATGGTATTCTTATTCCTTTATATATGTAAGTGCGAAGTATTGATGGGGTCTAACTGACGTATACTGCCGTATCCTGTCGTCGTTACTCTGCGTAATGCAGGCAAAGATGCTATAGTTTAGTCACCTTTTCATTACTAGACGTGTGCTCACGCTGTACAAATGCCTTCTTGCACTTGTTTTTTCAAGCTTCTTGATGATGACATAGAGTGCAGACATTGCTAATGTTGCTACGGCAACATAAATGATGGGTAAATATTGCAAAAGGATGCAATCCAGATATGCAAAGGGAGAGAAAGGAAAAGAAAGAAATAGTTAAAAGACAGAAATCAATAAACAAAACTTAAAAACTGGGACAAGAAAACTTGAGGAAAGGAAGAGTAAAACTAAAAAAAAACAAAATAGATGCCTAGGTTCGGCCTGTTTCAGGCTTTGCGCTGCTATGGTGAAGCTCCATTATTTTTTCTCTTTTATTTTGCGACGACTTGGAAATGTAGAGTGTATTAAAATTTCAATCATTAGTTTTCATGATATGACATCGCTCAACTAGTCCTTCCAAAATATCAAGGAAAAGCCTCATCACACAAACGCTGGCGTCCCCGGCATATTGCTTAAAGTCAGGTATTTCCTCCTGTTAAGCCGTTCTCTACGCTATTATTTTGCGTTTACACTCGTTGACGCAAATAAACATTCACAAAAGTAAAGTAATGGTATTCCTAATGATTGCCTTGTAGGTATCGCAAGCAAATGCGTGTTTCTGATGATCCGAATGGCCAAGTAACGCAATTGTTGTGTTCGGTTTAATTATTTTATTATGCGGGATTACCTACATTACTAGGAAGCAACAAAAATGAGCTAAAAAGTACAAGGACAATGTTAGAGTAGTTCATGCAAAACGTCCAAGTCAGCACTTGGCAACATTATGTTATAAGTATAACCGTTATGTAGCGCGCCTTTTCACGCACTGCCTAACGTTCCGCCTACGGGTAATATGACCCCATTCTCACCGGCTCATGATACCAATAATGAGACACACAATTTTGAGGCAGAGCCGAGAGTGTATAACAAAACAAAAATATATTGTCACATAGGGCAGAGCGAAAAACACACAAAATTGGGCACTCGGCAGTTACCGTTACAATACAATCTACAAGGTCACCAATAACACGTAAAACAACGGGCACAACCAAGAACTGCGCTACAATGCAGTCTCATGCATTACCTATCCAAGCCACGTGGACGCCTGTCATACGACACGTGTAATGTCATGCGCTTCAAATTACATTAGGTGTTAATGTCATACTTGTGCCTGCTACACGGACACAGTGAATGACATCGACGCTTAATGAGATTCGGCTGCTGAATGCGTTCACTGAACTTATGGAAGCGTGGTGTGTGTAACCTAATCGACAGGCGCTTGACTACAGGTTACAAAACAATATATTGAAGCAAGGGTAAACGATGTTTAGATATATGTCAAAGGTTGTTGTTATTTTTTTCGGTAACTTTTTTTCGGTAACAGCGCGATATTGAAAGCTATTCGTGCAGCTACTTTCTCGTTTCCAGGCCAGCGTTACCTGTCAGCCGTGTTTACAAACGATTCTTGCTGTTCATGGTCGCCGAGATCGCGGGCGCGCGGCGTGGTTCTTTCTGGTCGTCCCAATTGCCGCGCTTTCCAGCAAAACCATCGAGTATCGCCTCACGCGCCCGGCTACCGCAAGGCGGTGCGTTTAATAAGGGTTCCTCGAGTGGCGGGGAACATGGAAGAAAGCAGAGTGCTGTGGCATTTACGTGGTTACCAGGCGTGCATGCGCCACTGGCATTCTGCATAGAGGATAGAAAATTTTGGAGTGGAAGTTTGAACGAATGTGTGATTCAATAGTGGCGTTTTAGTATTAGGTTACCAACAGGATACGATTTACGCAATTGATGCTATGTCATTGCTATAGTTTTTCTTTGTTAGATAAATTGAAGTTAGGTTCGTTTCTTCTATTTAATTTCAGGAATGTTTTATACTGTTGCGTGCCCTTCTGCACGTCAGATAGGAAAAAACATTTGGGCACGAGCCACCACCATGCGCAGTAGTGGTATCAACAGCGCCGTCAACACCAATTACGCGAGTACGAGCGACCACAAAATGCACCACATTCATCAAAAACTGACAGCCCAATTCACAAGCAAAATCGAAATGCCGCATTCTACGCCCAGGGGTAACACGCAAATAAAAGATTTACACGATTTCTTGTTTCTTTGGTGGAAATACCACTGAATCATATTGTAACGCTGTTTAGAGAATCACTACAGGCGCTCTCCCTACTGAAACGTTCCGTAAGATGCGGAGACCTCACATACG